AACCTAGTGATTCTGTGATTCTGTGAAGTTGTGTCTCTGTGGATGACAGCCTCATTACCACCCGCAGGATCATGGTGCAGGACACAGAGATCAGGACCATGTCAGATCCTGTCACTATGAAAGCCACGAAGAGGCCGTAAATGACATTGACTCTGGTCCTCTCACATGCCAGCTCACATGCCCCCTCACATGCCATGTGCTCACAGTAAGGGTGGGAGATGATGTGATGCTGGCAGAAGGGCGTCCTGCAGAGGAGGAAGCAGAAGGGACCCCACGCACCAGCACCAGACTCCTGAGGGTCACCACCACCGGCACAGAGAGGACGCTGGAGTACGGCGGTAGGTGGCAAATAGCGATGTAGCGCTCCAAGGCCATGGCCATGAGTATGCCCAACTCCATTGATGAGAAAGTATGGATGAAGAACAGCTGAGCAAGGCAGGAGAGAAATCCAATCTCCCTGGAGCCCAGCCAGAAGATGCCAAACATTTTGGGCAGTGTGGATGTTGATAGGACCAGGTCAGTGCAGGCCAGCATGGCCAGGAAGAGGTACATGGGCTCGAGCAGGCTTGGCTCTGCCTCTATAATGAGAAGGGTGATGTTCCCCTGCACAGCAATGGCATACATGATGCAGAAGGGGAAGGCAATCCAGAACTGCTCCTTCTCCAGCCCAGGGATGCCAACGAGTAAGAAATAGGGAGGGTGGGAGAAGGCAGGAGAGTTCCGAGCCATGAAACCCTTCTTGTCTCTTGCCTACACTGAGGGCTTTTGCGTCCTGTAAAAAAAGCATCACCCTCAACTTGATCTGGTCAGTGACAAGCAGAGACTGCCATGAGGTATGGTCTAGAAGCTCAAATTCTCTAGTCAGCCATCCATCCCTGTGACAGCTGCTCACACTTGTTCAGGAGAGCACTTCAGAAGAAAGTGTCCTGCCAGTTTCCGCTGAAAGTGCTCTGTCTCGCTTTTTGGAGTGGTCCTGGAGCATGCAGACTGGATTCTTCCTGGATTAAACTGAATGGGAAGACTGCCTGACACACACACCTGATGCTCTCCAGTGTCCAAAGGGAGTCCAGACCAGGAGACCAGATGAAACGTGGTCTCAAGTAAACCTTCTTGAAATGTGCGTGGTGGGGATATGAAGTCACTAGCACCAACCCTATAGATCTACAGGAGCTTTTAACAGCACTGTGCTGCTTGCCAGTGTAAACGGAGGCAGCAAGTGCTTGCCTCAGTCAAGAAACATCCAATTTCAGAGCAAAAAACAGAGCCAGTGCCACAGTATTGGACACCCTCCCTACAAATGCAGTGCTTCAGTGATGTCCATTCTCCTCCCTAAAAAGACTGCAGCTCGCTCAGCCCCTGCAAATTGCTCAGCTCACGGTTTCTTCCTAATACCTCAGAAAAAGGATTCCTTGAAGTCCTGCAGTACAGATTAGGCCAATGTTCCTGACCTGATAAGGCCCTTCAGAAACCTTCCTGGGGTTGGCCACACTTGTGCTGGAGAGCTGCAGGGAGCGGAGGGACAGAGGAGACAACATCAGCTTCCGGGGAGAGAGCTAGGCTTTTCGTCCCGCAAGGTCCGGCGCTAGCCAAGCCGGCTCCAGCAGCAGGCTCCCCTCCTGCTGCATCTGGAGCGAGATTTCACGCCGTGACCACCGCAGCCCAGCCCAGCCCGGCCACCAGTCACCAACCGGAGCTGGGCTGTTGGGGCTGTGCTTGAAACCTCACAAATACGTATGTCTCAGGGTCACCTGCGCTCTGGGAGAGAATTCCTGATTTATTTTTTTTCCATGTGGCTGTAAACACCCTAGGAACGGAAATTCCTGATATTTTCCTTTCTTCGTTCCACCTCCTTCCTCCCAGCTGCCTCTGTTGGTGCTGCTTTACCTAAATCTTCATTCTTCTTCATCCTTCCGTGGAGCAGAGCAGGGCAGGGGATGCGATGCGCAGGCCGAGGCAGCGCGGGAGGCAGGAGCACCAGAGCTCCTGTTCCGCCCTCGCGGCTGCCGCCCGGGAGAGGCGAAGGCGCGAAGGGCCTTATGGCAGAGCAGCAGATCGCTGCCTGAGCCCTGAATACTCACCTGCCTCCCGCGCGTTTGCAGGCAGGGACTCTGCACTGCAGAGACCAGGAGATACGCACGTGTCTGACAGATAGATCCCCGCGGGGAGCTCTGCGTTTCCCCCGTGACTCAACATGTAATTAGGGAGAGAGAAATAGGCAGTTTTTAACCTCGCCGATGCTGGTGACCTCATAGACACAGCTGCATTTTGCCCAGCTTTGTATCTGTTTTCTTGCAGTGTGTTTATTTGGAGGAGACTGAAGAGCGATGGAGTAGTTCAAGATTAAATCACAGGACTGGGTTTGTGTAATTAAAACTGCAGCAGCGTGAATTATGAAGTACTTTCCAAACAGCAGCAATCCTTTCTCTGCTACATCTCTTCTGTAGCTGTAATACAGGCTTGTCAGTAACATCATCCCCATTAGAGCGGTGACATAACAAGAGGCAGATTTCAGAGCCCTCTGCACGTTTGTTAAGCAACTCTCAGTGCTGTGCGGCACACTGCACCTCCCTGTGCTGATTTTGGGGGGTTTGTACAACGTAGCATCTCTGTGCCAAATCTTTGGCAATGCCAATTTCAATTAAAAGGGGAGTTGTGCAAATGAAGCCCCTTTCCATTATTGGGGAACCACATCAAGCCCCAAGGCAACTGACTAAGAGAGCCTAGGACAGCAGAAATGCCGAAGGGTCCCCAGTGTCACAGAGGCTTTATCAATACGAGTTAGTCAGATGTTACATTTCAATGTATTTTATTTCGAGTAAAGTCAGTTCAGTGCTCCACAGGTTCAGGATGCCAGGTGGGAACTACTACTACACAGCTGACAAGAACTCCTAAGTTTTCGGACGACGATCCAAAATGTGCACTCACTCACCTAACAAGGCGAGGGCTCTCAACCTTGCGGAGTTACCTTAGGCAGTGTCCCAACCCAAGGGGAGAGTCCCTGACTGCAGACCTGCTGCTCCGAGCAGGGCCGACTCAATAGGACCCCCAGCAGGGCTCCGTTCATGCCCTAGTCCAATCTGATCTGGGGTCATATATGGTCATGTTGGTTGGAGACCCCATTTTCTGGGTGGCAACAGCCATTGTGTGACTAGAATTAAGGTTTGAGATGCTTCTTACCCTAGGGACAGGTGTACCTGCTGCATCCAGGTCCAATCCCAGGAGTACGTGGAGAGGGAAGGGAAGGGAAGGGAAGGGAAGGGAAGGGAAGGGAAGGGAAGGGAAGGGACGGGAA